AGGTCCAAGTGCCCTGGTTGTGCAGCAGTTACATAGGGAGGTGAATGGCCCAAGCACATGTTAGGAGTCAGGGAAACAGTGGGATTGCAGTGCTCTGTCCCTCTGAGTGGGTTACAGCCAAGGTCTGGTTCTCTTACCCACTTCAACAGGAAGAGCTAATAGCCAGAGTTAACTATACAAAAATAGCAACACCCTAGGATCTACTTCTTAGGAGTAAAGTCAAGTCACAGTAATAGGAAACACCAGAACAGAGAAGTCAGCATCTCCGTGGAAAGAAATATAATTGTCAGAGGGCTTACTTCATCAGCCGTGCTTCTCACACCGGTCTGTGACAGAGTCAGCTCAGAGCGTCAGAGCCAGGGGAGGTGGCTCTCAGTCCAGCCTTCCTTGAATGGGACCAGCCCTGACTTATGTCTTGCTATGAGGGGCCTTTTGCTATAGCAACCCATCAGTGTGGTTTTTAATTCTCTGTGCACAGCCTTTCCTCATTGATCACTAACGTCATTAGTTTGGGCCCATCCTATACACCAGTCAATGGAGTGATCAATTTTAACCATATGAAACACAAAAATTTACTCTTAAAGAATCCAGAGACTGAGATCATTTGTCTTTTGCCCACCAAAGTGTAAATCTTTTCTTGCTACTGGTTTCTTGTTGGGCAGCAGACATAAAGAAGGAGCCAGACAGAGACCTTTGTGCAGGTGGCCCTGTCCAGGTCCCTATGGGGCTATCATCTATGAACCCCCCGCCATTCGATGGCGGTGACAAAGTGTACTATCTGTATGTGACATCAGGTTCCAGGCAGACTGCAAGGCTCAGCCCTCCTGTAAGCAACAGCTCCCTCACTCACCTCTTTGTCACTTGTCAGTCCTCTCACTTCCATCCGTGGAACCTGGTTAAACCCAGCGGAGCAGGCTGTAACACAATGTTTAGGGATCATGTAGGGCAGTCTGACCCCCACATCCAAAGCACTGTTTAGACAAGCCCTCCTTGTCCTCCCTGGCTGCAAAATAACAGGGTTCTCTTGTATTTTTTGGAGCAACAGCTTGTGGATTTGTTCCAGAGAAAAATGCTTTGGGCTTTAATAAAATTCTTAGATCTGCCTTTCTCTTGGGATATCCAAGCTCATAATCAAACAGGAAGCCTTTTAATAATACCAACATTTTGATGCAAAATGCATATGATGCAAAATGATCATTCATTCCATGTATAGGATGACAACTACCAGAAGAAACTCAGGCGTGTTTAAAGCACTCAGAAAACAGGGAGAGAACATTTTTCCCCTTCAAAAATCTTTGGTATTGCAGGTCATCTAGCCGCAGTTTTAACTAAATATGGTGGGTTTGTGGAACATTAGCTGAATCTTCAGGGAGGAGCTCAGTGTGAGCTGGGCTACCAAGACAGACACTTTCTTAATTAGAAGCCAAAACAGTGAGATGGAGAGGTGGGGACTAGTTAGGTGGGATCTGTCTGGGTTCAAAGAGGCCACAATGAGGTGAAAATTGACCACAGTCAAAATCACCCTTGAAAATGACTCAAGACAGTGCCGTTGGAGATGGACATACTGCTTCTCAGCAGCAAAAGTCAACCCAGCTCGATTTTCTCTGGCATTGAAATAGGTGGCTGTGTCTTCACTTGAGCTTGAATTTAAGGACAAGTTGGTATGAAGAATGTGTGTCCATAAACACTTGAATGACACAGAGTGGAAGAGGAGGCTGAGGCTGTGAGGGGACAGGAAGACTGAAGTCATCTCCAAGAACAGCCAAGTCACCTTCAAGAACACGTCACACACAGTGGTTCTCCACTGTTAGTTCTCAACAGAACCAACAGAGGCTGGTTAAAGGACAGACTGATGGGTCCACTGCCAGGATTTCTGATTGAAAGGGTCTGAGATGGGCCTGAGAACTTGCATTCCTAGCAATGCTGCTGCTGGTCCTGTGGACACGGTCCCTCAGAGAACCATTGCTTTAGGTCAGTGCTTTTTTGCAGGACGGGTGGGAGGGCTTCTGAGTAGCCAGGAGGCACTCAATACATTTGTAACCACACTTCCATTCTCTCCAGTCCCAGGGCAGTCACTCTTCATTCTGTTATTGGCCAGTTTTCCTAGGCTGAGGATGAATGTATGATGCCCTTCGTCATGTCAAAAGAATTCAATCCTTAATTCCTTGCTGGTATTGGCCTGCAGTTTTCTCCACTATTTTATCAACAGTGCCTATATGTACTGAACACTTAATATTCTAACATTTAGGGTAATGCCCATCTTTCGTTTCTTTAAGTCAGGCATAGTCAAGTGTGTACATTTTGTTGGAAATTACCCATCAAAACCTACCCTCAGAGAAAGAAGCCACAGCACAGTAATAACACGTCATGGAATACGCTCAGCTCAAGATAGACAGTTGGGTAGAGCATTTTCAATATGGCGCACGAACCATTCGCTGGCATATGATAGAATTCAGAGCACACAGTAGATGCACATATTAATCAAGTGCATGTGTGCGTGCAAGTGTGTATGTGTGTGTAAAGTACTGCAGAGACAAGTAGTGTTTCGACACATCAGTGCTTCACCGGTAGGACCTAAATATTTGATTCATGCCATGAGCACACAGTTGAAATTACATAAATCGTGTCTGTGATGTATTCTTTTGAATGTGTTTTACTGTCAGTGGGAGACATCGAGGTTACATTATACAGTAAGAAAAAGGAGAAACGCAGATATCTGCCTCCCAGCTAGTTCCCCGGCATTAGAAGGTGACACAAAGCACTCTTCCACGTGCAGTGAGCTAATTAAAGACAATTTACGCAGTGGGAGGAAAAAGGGTCTAAACAAACTTACTTAACTTATGGCCCCACCAGGACGAGAAGAGCCCCCTTCCCAGAGTTCAGAACTCCCAAACCTATAGAAATGTTCGAAGTCTATTTTCATCTTTTATGTTGAAACATCTAAGACATTTTGGTTCAGGATAAGAGTTTTGGGCTTAACTGAATTTTTTTAATAGTTCATGCATATTCACTTTTTATATCGCTCCAATCTTATTAACTGTAACTGATCATTATAGTTTTTTTAAGATGCAGAAATTTTTTTCCTGATATTTGAAAGTAGAAATATTTCCTTGTGTCTGTCTTTCAGTTTTCCATATCTGAGGCTTGGGGAGGGGGGTTGCTATGCCAGATCACACCATACACACGGTGACTATTTCCACAAAGATTGTCCCCTAGGTGTATAGTAGCTTCGGGAAAAGCATCCTTGCAAATTCAGTCCCATCTCAGGGCTGCAAAATGATGCACCTATTAGGAGATCCAATTATTAGGGAAAGACTTGGGAAGGTCCTACAATGATAATCTGAGGGTAATCCATCCCTACTTCTTTCATTCCTATCGTCCCCTCCCTTCGAAGCTGGGAACCTACCGCGAGTTTCTGTGAAAGCAGACTTTCTTCCTCCTCTTCACAGAGTATTGTAACCAGTGTGCCACAACATCCCTTCTTTCTCTCTCTATTTTTCTCCCTCCCATTCTGTAATTAAAATCTCCAGCATGTAAATGCTTTCTATTGTTTCCAGCTTTGCATGGATAAAAGCTGTCTAATTCTGGGATAGACCTAATTACATACTCCATGCTGCACTCTGTGCCAGTTAGAAGCTTTTCCAAGAATTGCACAGTCTTGGGTTCTGACATTTCCCAGCTGAATATCCACAAGTCGTGTTGGCTCCTGATTGCCCAGAGACATGTCAATATCGCCAGGCTGCAAGGATGTGATGCGTGTAGAACACTTGGTGCGCCCTGAGTGATCCACAGCTCGGAATTCTTCTTCTACTCCAGATGTTAGTTTACATTGAAGATTGCTGAGGACCTGTGGTTCTTGTTTCCTTCTCCCTCTGTCATAAACACCATTCTCCATTTCCTGTGGGATGTTTCTAGGCCTATTTCCTTATCTCTTTTTTCAGGAGCCCCAAAGTAATGTCTGTGTTTTTCAAAGTCATGCTCACTACTACATCAGAAGAATCCAGCTATCTCCATGGTTTAACAAATTTCTCACTTAACATCACGGCCCAATGAGACTGTTCCTGATTGGAAGGCTTCCCTCCACAGAAAGATTCTGAGATCCAGGCTCTTTTCATCTTGTGGTTCGGCATCTTCATTAGGCAACTCCCACTGTTGTTGGAGAAATCATTTCTACACTACCCAGAGGAAGGGGCAGTGAGCACGCAGAACCTTGCCTGGAAGTGGTACAAATCGTGGCCACTCATGTTGCACCGCCTGAGCCTGGTCACACAGCCGCCCAGTTGCAATGGAGGCTGAACGTGCAGTCAGCTGCATAAGCCCAGGAGAAGAGGGAGCGTCTGCCACAGTGGCTTTTACAGCCTTGGGACGTCTTCTCACTGGTGGACAACAGAGATGGAAAGGAAACATGGCTGACATGCTACCTAGAGCCTTTTATGCCTCATTCTCTAACTTCTTGGTAAAGGGAATCCTCGCCTGTTCACAGGAAGAGTCTTCTAAGAAAACAGAGAAAAGAAAAAAAACATGACAAAACAAATTACCAAGAAATCATAGCTCCTTTGTTACCATTGGCATGTGTGTGTACATGTAAAACAACCCAGCAGATATGACAGGAAGGTAAGGATTCACTGTGATGAGTGAATCCTGGTTTCCATTCATTGTTTTAATGATCTTTCATTGCTTTTTAGAGGGAGAGGGGGTGAAAGAGAGAAACATTGATATGAGAGAGAAAAGTCAATCAGTTTTACTGATTGTGGCTCAGTGGACTGAGTGCCTGCCTGTAAATCAAAGGGTCACTGGTTCGATTCCCAGTCTAGGGCACATGCCTAGGATGCAGAGATGGAACAGGTAGCCCACAAAATTTCCACTTCTTAAGGACACAGCCAGGGCTGCCATTTGGCTCCACACCTGCCAAGTCACCTGTCCCTGCTCCTGGGTGTCACAGGGGGGGCTCATCTAGTAGTTTGATTTTGCTGCGTTGAACCAAGCGATTTTTCTTTCAGTGTCAGTCCAACCATGGTGTGGACCCAGGCACGCACCGATGCACATGGAGCACAGACGACAGAACCTGGAGAACTATGTGAAACTCTTTAATGGCTCTGCGTGACACGAGGAGCCCAGAGCAGTGACAATCACCTAGGTCCTGGAGGGATTTGATTCTTATGGTAAACCCTGGGACAGCTTTTTCCTACTCTTCTGTTTTTAGTCTAACTTTATCTTGTTTGCTTTTACAGACACTAGAGGCTGGAAACCTTTAACATTGAGAAAGAGTTCTCAGATTTGGTTTGCTCACAGTTCAGCGAGATTTGCCCATCTAAACTGAATCGAGGAACCCTGTGGAGGGAAGGCATCTGGAAGCTGGGAGAAGGCACCATCACCTCTTCCTCCCAGACCACAACACAAGGCCAAGGGAATGGAGATGAGTCAAGGAAAGTTCTGTGTTGTTACTGTTAAGCCTGGTTTCCATTCATTTTTTTAATCCTCTTTCATTGCTTTTTAGAGAGGGGGGGCGGGCAAGAGAGAAACACTGATATGAGAGAGAAACATCAATCAGTTTTACTGATTGTGGCTCAGTGGGCTGAGTGCCTGCCTGTAAATCAAAGGGTCACTGGTTCGATTCCCAGTCTAGGGAACATGCCTAGGTTGCAGGCCAAGTCTCCAGTAGGGGGCCCCCAAGAGGCAACCACACATTGATGTTTCCTTCTCTTTCTCCCTCCCACGCCCTCTCTAAAAATAAATAAATAAATTCTAAATTCTGAAAAAAAATCAGTTGCCTTCCACATGGACCCCACAGGGGTGGGATTGAACCTGCAACCTAGATATGCACCTTGATCGAACAGCCTTGGACGGCACTTCAACCAGCTGAGCCTCTGGCCAGGGACTGGTTTCCTTCCTGGTTTCCCTTCTTCTGTGACCCCTGAGAAGGGCTGTCATATGTGAGTTCACTCCTTATCCCTAAAGTAGAATAAACAGGATCCCAGACGTGACTGGAGTTCTGAGGGAGTTCTTCTCTCACTCACTGGTCTGAAGGGCCACAGCCTTCAGCCTTCCTGAGAGATGTTGTACGGCTTAGGTGAAAGGCCTCACCGGAGGCCCACAGTCCCCTTGGGGGCGAAGCACCTGGGCCGCTTGTATGCTTCTTGGGGTTCCAGTGCCTCGTGCTATTTGAATCTTTGGAAAGATGTTCCAAGACATTATTACAACACTCTGCAATTGACCAGGTCAAGGTCCATTTGAGGATTTGTTAGTCTTCCTCTTTGCTTCTGTGTTTTGCTCCCTGGCCTCTCTCTCCTCTTCCTTTCACCCATTAATATCTTCACAGCCAACTGGCAGGAAGAAGAAGTGAAAGGAGCTGTCTCCTTCCTTCAGTGAAGGGAGAAGGGCCTCCTCCACACCTTCCTTGATATTCTCTCCTGGGAGATGTTTTATTCCAAGTGGATCATGAAGGTCTTCGTTCGCAATCAACACCCAAGTGCCTATAAAGCAGCAGTAAGAATTAGAGTTTTGTCATCAGTGATGAATAGAAGGGCAATTAGGGAATTTCAAGAAGCGCTCCGATCTGGTGGAGGTCACACCCCCAAAAGCAGACAGGGTCAACGGGGTCATAAAGAGTGAAGCCGCCAGTGGAACCTGGGGCAAACTGAGGAGCACCTGCCGCCTTCGAGGGGGCCCCGCTCCCCGGCCCTGGTTGGTGGCTGCCAGGCCCAGGGGGCCCAGTGTCGTCAGATCTACCGGTTTTCAAGAGAAGTGTGGAATAAATATTCCTATACGAATTGTCCTTATTCTACAATAATGAAAATTCATTTATACTCTTAAAAATATGTTGCTGGCCTGATCAAACACATTTGATGGTGGCTGCCCAAGGGGCCTCTGGTGTTTCATCTCCACAAATGATTGAGAGTCAGCTATTATTAATAATATTCTTCTTGAGGAGCTCCTACCCTTGGTGACAACATGGATGGAACTGGAAAGCATTATGTTGAGTGAAATAAGCCAGCGGTGAAAGACAAATACCATATGATCTCACCTTTAAAGGAACCCAAACAACAAAATAAACAAATAAGCAATATATAACCAAAGACATTGAAATAGAGAACAGGCTGACAGTGACCAGAGCGGAGAGGGGAGGGAATTTCAGGGGAAAAGGGGAAGGGTTTACAGAAACAACTACAAAGGACACATGGACAAAAACAAGAAGGGGTGGAAATCGGAAGGAGCTGGGGAGGGCTGGGTGGGTGGGCTGGGATGGGAGTAAAAGACAGAAAACTGTGCTTGAACAACAATTAAAATTAAAAAAATAATGCTCTTCTTGTCCACGGGGACAATTCCAAGTCATAGGATTTCCATCTGCTAAATAAAGCAATCCACAATCAGAATTTATCACTAGACACACAGATAAACAAAATAAATTCAATCTACAGTGAGAAGTAAGAAGCTACAGGCCTACATGTCTTGCACTTCCTCTAAAAGTATGACCTTTTCTCAACATTTCAAATTAGGCAACATACTAGATATAATTTTCACTGAAAAATGAACATCTTAGAAGGCCACTGAACTACAATGCCATTGAACTACACATGTTAAAAATGGTTAAAATGGTCATTTTCATGTTGTGTGCATTTTCCAGCTATTTAGAAAATAAACAGATAAATAAATATCATCCAGCGTCAAGATTCTGGGTTTGGGAATCCAGACCACAGACAGTGCTAATCAGCAACCTCGGGCAGGAATGGAGTATTTCACTCAACGAGACCTCCAGAAAGATCTGTTGATTGATTAGGGAAGGAAGAATTGCTTGCTTAAATACAGCCTCGGGTGGAAAGGCAGAGAAGATGTCAGGAAAAGCGCTGAAAACCTGAAACAAAACCAAAGTCCTGGAAACAGCCTGGGTAACCAAGCAGACAGGCCCGCCTGGCATGGATGACAAGCCAGGACCCGCCCATGACCAGTTCCCGTGACAGACAGACCAGACTTCCCACAGCGGACATTGATAGACATGCCGGCGTCTGCAAGTCCCTTCAGCCAAAGCCCTGGGCCAGACTAGCCCTCGAAAGGTGAAATTTTAGAATTATTTCACACGCAAAAGCCTAAGCTACTGGTCACATCTTCTTTATGAGAAAGGACTGTACACCCATCAGATCCATACTCCCCAGGCTGGGAACCACTAGTATAAGTTAATTGGCCTGAATTCACAGTTACTGGACAGTCATAGCACATCAGCAGATTTCGTGGTCACATTTAAAAAATTTCTTTTTAATTAAAGACTTTAATAATCCAGGTTTTTAGTGTCGCAGGTTCGATTCCCAGCCAGGGTACATGCCTGGGTTGCAGGCCATGACCCCCACCCAGCAACCGCACATTGATGCGGAAACATTGATGTTTCTTTCTCTCTCTCTTTCTCCCTCCCTTCCCTCTCTAAAAATAAATAAATAAAATCTAAAAAAAATAATAATCCAGGTTTTAATAGGCTGAATTTCTTCATATCTACAGAGGGGAAAAGTAGAGGAAAAAATTTAAAATAGTACCAGGGAGATTGACAGGTTTTAATCAGCAGACATTCCAGATAACTCAGTTGATGGTTTCCCATCTCTTTGGCAGAGGAAGGTGAAATCAAGCACACAAAACAATCCAATTCTCCCTGCCCTTGTGAAACCTGCCTCTAAATATTTTATGTATGTAGGTATGTATGTATGTATCCATGCATGTATGTATATATATGTATGTATGTATGTATGTATTGGAAAATGTTCTCCCTTAATTCTTGTTCCCAGTTCCCTTTAATTGCTATAGAGTTTGAGAGTCTGGGAAGGTGGGGGCTCTGGTTCCGGCGCAGTCAGTGACACCAGCTGACATTGTATCAGCTCCTATTCACCTGAGCTTCTGGACCCTCCAAAGGTCAACAAGACTTGTACAAACTCTTCCGCTCTTCTTCTTGGTTGAGGCCATTATGAAAGCACTTCTCTCTCCCTTAAAACCCCCTGATGGGGGCTTTCAAAATATGTAATTAGTAATAACTGTAATGGCAATTTTTTAAATTTTGCAAAAATGTACAAAATACAGAATAATCACATGAAAGTAGAAAATAGCATCCGCCCAAAAAATAAATGCATAGAAAAAATATGAGAAGTATGCTAAAATATTTATAGCAATTGTCCTACATCATGGGAAATTTTATAATCTTCTTTCGACAGCAAATCAAATTAAATGTCATTTAACTTTACAAAGAGGTTTTTCTTCTATTATTAGGAAAGCAAAATATGGAAATGAAGTAAGAGCAGTTAGAGTTTTATTGGGTTCAACTTTTCTATGCTGAGAATTGATTCCTTTTATAATAAAAATGTATTTTATAGTTTACACATTTTTAATTTATGAAGCAGTTAGGGCATGCTTGTCACCTGGCCTCGGTCATCCGTAGGGGAGAAAGGGACAGGATATTATGAACTCACTGTCCCCACGTCCCTGTTGCTCACTGGAGTGTGGAGTCAGCTCCGGGCCGCACGTCTCTCTGGGGAACGCGTGATCAGAACATTTCCTTCTACCGTTTTTGAAAGCCAAGTTTCTGATTTACATGGGGTGGGGGCGGGGTATTGGGTGGTGGGGGGAGTTGACCATATCACATTTTCACATTTCCATCTATCATAATTTAGATCTTTACATTTCTCGAGTTGGTGATTGATAGCCTCCAAACACATAAACACTCTCCTCTCCACCTGTACAAAATGCACCAGGGACTTGGTGCTCATAAAGGCGGGATCAAGGTGAGAGTGAATCAAAGTCAAAAACTCACTCCTTAGCAGAGGTAAGGCCCCAGATCGTCTGTGGCCAAAGAAGGTGACAGTTTCTGGATGCTGTTAGTTTGCAGCAAATTGAAGTTTTGTAGTCTTATCTATTACCAGAAAAGCCCTCCAAAAAAAAAAAAAATGGAGCCGATCGGGGAGAAAGCAGGAGCCCCACCGTCTCATTTTTAACTAGGACCAGCTGAGAAGTGAAGGCAAGCACCACACAAACCATCTTATGTCTGCCAGTTCATTTCCTGGCCCCAAAAGGGGGAAAAAAAAAACCCTCGTGTTTCCTCTCATGCAGGCCAAACATGGCAAAGCACCAGGGGAATTTTGAATGGAATCAATTGCACTTGTTACTAACTGAGTTTTCTTTTATTCTTATATTACCAAGGGCTGGATACTCAGCTGCAAGCAATTATAATGAAGAGTTACTGAGTAATGGTTTCCAGATTGCTCCATGATGGGGCATTAATTGAAAGGGACAATTTAAGAGCTTAGGCCATGTAAATACATTTCTTATTCTGTCAGATTGAGAAATTTCTGGATGCAAAAGGCTGAAATGCTCAGAACTGATAAAGACTTAATAGTGCCCATTTAAACCAGTATTTGCAAAATCAGTTTCATGTCTTTAAGAGAATATAAAATAGTGAACCTGTGAGCTTGTTCATTCAATCAGAAAAATATTCAAAATAGCATTTTGCATGCCACACTCAT